ACATTCTCTTTCTTATATGAGTCTTCTTCAAGGGCCAAGTTAATAAAATTAATAGACTGAACCTTGTAACTCTCAAATATTTACATTTAAATTAGTGACATAAGATTGTATACATTAAAAAAGTCTATTCATTAGGATGTCAGATAAATCGTAAAACGTAGAAGACATACTTTAGGCAAGGAAAGTAACTTTTGTTTCCTCAAATTTAAGTATATAGGTTTCTTTCTCTCTCTTTCTCTCTTTCTCTCTCTCTCTCTTTCTCTTTCTTTCTTTTTTGAGTTTCGCTCTTGTTGCCCAGGCTGGAGTGCAATGGCGCGATCTCTGGCTCACCGCAACCTACACCTCCTGGGTTTAAGCAATTGTCCTGCCTCAGCCTCCAGCGTAGCTGGGATTACAGGCATGCACCAGCACACCCAGCTAATTTTTGTATTATTATTTTTTTTTTTAGCAGAGACAGAGTTTCACCATATTGGCCACGCTGGTCTCGAACTTCTAGCCTCAAGTGATCTGCCTGCCTCAACCTCCCAAAGTGCCAGATTACAGGCATGAACCACTGTGCCCGGCCAGCCTCCACAAATTGAGTGCGGATGTGAGTGTGAATGTGTGCAGGTGTGTCGTTTGATTTTTTTTTTTTGAGACGGAGTCTTGCTCTGTCGCCCAGGCTGGAGTGCAGTGGCGTGATCTTGGCTCACTGCAAGCTCTGCCTCCCGGGTTCACACCATTCTCCTGCCTCAGCCTCCGGAGTAGCTGGGACTACAGGAGCCTGCCACCATGCCCGGCTAGCTAATTTTTTTGTATTTTTAGTACAGATGGGGTTTCACTGTGTTAGCCCTGATGGTCTTGAGCTCCTGACCTCGTGATCTGCCCATCTCAGCCTCCCAAAGTGCTGGGATTACAGGTGTGAGCCACCACACCCAGCCCATTTGATTTTATTTTTATTTATCTAATTATTTATTTGTTGTTTTTTTCTTTTTCTTTTTAGGTGTGTCATTTTGAATTGTTTGCTTTAGGATTCAGATGCTGTTTTTCCTCTTGCCTGTCTTATTTACAATGGCCTATGAAGATAGTGAAGACCGTCATCAACACCACCAACCATCTTCTTCATCACCGTCAAGGTAACACAATAATGGCAATAATACCTATTACCTGCCAGACGCTGTGCTGCCTGTATTGTCCCAATCAACCCTTTCAACATCCCCATGAGCTTGACATTGTCAGCCCCTTTGTTCAGATGACAGCGTTGCCAGTGACAGGATGAGAAGCAAAGTCTCCTCCCGCCTGCTCCTGCCTTCTCAACACTACAGTCCAGGCCTCAACTCTGTCTTAGCTGCTGCTAGGATTGTATTTCTAAAATCAGGAAGGGGACATTTCACCTAGGAGCACAGGGGAGGTTGGTCTGGAAAGACAGGAAGGGACATTTCACTTAGGGGCACAGGGGAGGGTGGTCTGGAATGACAGGAAGGGGACATTTCACCTACGAGCAGAGGAGAGGGTGGTCTGGAAAGATAGGAAGGGACATTTCACCTAGGAGCAGAGGGGAGGGTGGTCTGGAAAGACAGGAAGGGGGAGGGTGAGGAGGAGGGGAGAGAAGATGAAGTGGGGAGTATTAATTTCACCTCAAATTTACTTTGTTTTCCCACTTTCTTCTCCAGGATGTAAAAACAAGGAGTGCCAGTGTGGGCAACACAGTGAGTCCCCATCTCTACAAAACTTTAAAAAAATTAGCTGGGCCTGGTGGTGCTACTCTGGAGACTGAGGTGGGAGGATTGCTTGAGCCCAGGAGTTCAAGATCAGCCTGGGCAAGACAGCAAGACCCTGTCTCTATAAAAAACTTAAAAATTAGCCAGATGTAAAAAACAAACAAACCCAACCGAACAAAAACCAAACAAACAAAAAATTAGGTAGGTGTAGTGGTGCACCCCTGCAGTCCCAGCTACTGGGGAGGCTGAAGCAGGAGGATCACTTGACTCCCGACATTCGAGGCTGCAGTGAACTAGGATTTTGCCACTCCCTTCCAGCCTGGGCAACAGAATGAGACCCTGTCTATACAAACAGATAAAACAAGGAGCAAGAGGAGATCTTTAAGGAACGATTGCAAACTCCCTTTTTTGAAGTCACTGTGGGAAAAGATTGTGACCCAGTAGAGTGGAACGTAAGAGGGGTGGGGAATCTTCGTGGATTGGGATTGGGTTAAAGGAGCTCTAGGAAAAGGGGAGGGGAGCTTGAATGGTAAATGTCCATGACAGGCAAAGGGTTCCTATTCCCGACACACAGGAAAAGCACTTGCAAATCAGAGAAAAAGACAAACATCCTTGGTGGGAAACTGGTCAAAGGAGTCGAATATGCAAGTATCAAAAGAAGGAATACAGGTGACTAATAAACATGACAAATGTTCGGTCTTACAGGCAATCAAAGAAATCCAAATCAGTAGAGCAAGTCACCTGTTATTCGGCTTTTTTTTTTTTTAAATTAATAATGTCTAGCATTAGTGGTTGTGTGGGGAAAACAAATAATCCTCTCCACTAAGGGCAGTTTGCCTGCATGCCGTCACACTTCTTTTTTTTTGTATTATGGTAAAATACACGCAACACAAAGTTTGCCACTCTGAACTTTAAGCCTCCTGAGTAGCTGAGATTACAGGTATATGCCACCATGCCTGGCTAATTTTTGTATTTTTAGTAAAGATGGGGATTCACCACGTTCGCCAGGCTGATCTTGAGTTCCTGACCTCAAGTGAGGTCTTGGCCTCCCAAAGTGCTGGGATTACAGGCAGATCCACTGCATCCAGCCTTTTTGAGCATTTTTAAGTGTACAGTTCAGTGACATTAAGTACATTCACACTGTTGTGCTACCATCACCACCATCCATCTCCAGAAGAGTTTCATCATTCCAAAAGAAACTATGTACCCATTCAACTGTAACTCCCCGTTTCCTCCTGTATTCACATTTTATTATGATCTTGACGCAGTAATAGCACTTCTAAGAATTTACCCTAAGGAGATAATTAGAAAAAATTGAAAAACATGTACAAGAAAGTTCCTAGCAGTGTTGTTTGTAATACTGAAAAATTAGAAACAACCTAAACATCCAACAACAGGGAACTGGCTAAATAAATTGTTAGCCTATACAATGAAAGATTATACAGTTATTAAAACTGATGATGATGTTGATCTATGTACACTGTGACCAAGAAAACATGTCCATGACATATTTACTGAAAAATGGAATAGATATAAAAGTGTATGATGACCCTGTTACATAAAACCCTGTATGTGTGTCTTTATTATATTTCATTTCTAGAGACAAATACTCAGATCCCCAACTCAGACAATGTCTTGCTTAACTGGAGAAGTATATTGTTGCCTAGATATTTGTCATGGATGAGTGAAATTCCCCAATGTATTTTGCTACCCAGGCAGAATGTCTTACCTCTATCTTCTGAAATACAATCAGATATCCCATATCTTCTTCATAGCAGATTGGTTGACTACAAACATTCTCCCCTCCTCATCAATTCTACATCTGCATAATGGAATCGAATTGTTATGGATTGTGATGTTACAATATTCTTTTATGTTGGGTTATACTATCTTTAACTTAGAATGCGTTTGTCCCCATGTTGGGTACAGTATAGCCAGGAATATCTGATTTTCAGAGTACAACCTGCCTATAATGGCATAAAATTATATCTCTAAAAAGGGAATATGAGGCCATGCACGGTGACTCATGTCTGTAATCCCAGTACTTTGGGAGGCTGAGGCGGGCGAATCACTTGAGGTCAGGAGTTCCAGACCAGCCTGACCAACATGGTGAAACTCTGTCTCTACTAAAAAATACAAAAATTAGTTGGGTGTGGTGGCGAGCAGCTATAGTCCTACCTACTCAGGAGGCTGAGGCAGGAGCAGGGTGCCCAGGCTGGAGTGCAGTGGTGCTATCTTGACTCACTGCAACCTCTGCCTCCCAGGTTCAAGCGATTCTCCTGCCTCAGCCTCCTGAGTAGCTGGGACGACAGGTGCGTGCCACCACACTTGGTTTTTTTATTTTTAGCAGAGACGGGATTTCACCATGTTAGCCAGGACAGTCTCAATCTCCTGATTTTGTGATCTGCCTGCCTTGGCTTCCCAACGTGCTGGGATTACAGGCATGAGCCACTGCACCCGGCCTTTTATATGCTATTTTATCTTACAGAAACAAACCAGGTTTTGATTCACCTGTTTTCAAACACTCTTTTTATAGAATCTACAAAGTATTACTGAGCCCACTGAGGCCTATAAGGAAAAATCGAATATCCAGTGATAAGAGCAAAAAATAAGCTATCTGTGAAAATGCTTTGTGATGTTCTATTTCATATCACAGAATGGAACCTGTATTTTGATGCATCAGGTTCCAATCACTCTTTTCGTAGAATCTATGAAGTGACATTTCTGGGCCCATTGAGGCCTATAAGAAAAGTTGAATATCCAGCGATGAAAACTAGAAACATGATATCTGTGAAGATGCTTTGTGATGTACTCTTTCATATGACAGAATAGAAACTGTATTTTGATTCACCAGGTTCCAAGCACTTTTTTCTTAGAATTCACGAAGTGACATTTGTGAGCCCATTGAAGCCTATAAGAAAAAACTGAATATCCAGCAATAAAAACTAGAAACCAGGGAACTGTGAAAATGCTTTGTGACCTGCTTTTATATCAAAGAATGGAACCTGTGTTTTGATTCATCAGGTTCCAAGCACTCTTTATGTAGAATCTATGAAGTTAATTTCTGAGCCCATTGAGGTGTGTAAGGAAAAGTCGAATATGTGTCTTTAAAAAGTAGAAACAAGGTATCTGTGAAAATGCTTTTTGATGTGCTGTTTCATATCACTGAATGGGACCTGTGTTTTGATTCACCATGTTCCAAACACTCTTTCCATAGAATGGATGAAGTGTCGTTTATGTGCCCATTGAGGCCTATGGAGAAAAACTGAATATCCAGCAATAAAAACTAGAAAGAAGCTATCTGTGAAAACGCTTTGTGAGGTGCTGTTTAATATCATAGAATGTAACATGTGTTTGATTCAACAGGTTCCAAACACTCCTTTTGTAGATTCTACAAATGACATTTCTGAGTTCATTGAGGCCAAACAAACAAAAATCAAAAACAAACAAACAAAAAACAAATATGCAGCAATAAAAGCTACAAATAAGCTATAAATGAAAATGCGTGGTGATTCACCGTTTCATATCACAGAATGGAACCTGTGTTTTGATTCAACAGGTTCAAACACTCTTTTCATAGAATCTACAAAGTGACATTTCTGGGCCCATTTGAGGCCTATAAGGAACAATCAAATATCCTGCCCTGAAAACTAGATATAAACTATGTGTGAAAATGCTTTGTGCAGTGCTGTTTTATATCACAGAATGGAACCTGTGTTTTGATTCACCAGGTTCCAAACATTCTTCTTATAGAATCTACAGTGACATTTCTGAGCCCATTGTGGCCTTCTAGAAAAAATGGAATATACAGCGATAAAAACTGGAAGTAAGCTGTATGTGAAAATGCTTTGTCATGATCTGTTGTTTCGTCTTACAGAATGGAACCTCTATTTTGATACACCAGGTTCCAAACAGTGTTTAGGTAGAATCTACGAAGTGACATTTCGCACCCCACTGAGGACTAAATGGAAAAATCAAATATCCAGTGATAAAAACTAAAAACAACATGCCTGGTTTCAGAAAACAAGTGACTCACTGTGTAAAAAAAGAATGAACAGCAGATGAAGGCATTTAGAAAAGAAATTCAACGGTAATGTAGAAGTCAGTTGGAGTCTTGTTTTTCTGTTTGTGGGACCAGTTTTTGATATATTTATAAACAAATGAACAAACAGAAAAGCTACCTCAGCCAATAGATTTACAAACAAGCCAGGGAATCCTGGGACTGTGGTGTGCACACCATTTGGATCCAGTTGTTGTGCGGGGAGAGGTAAGGTGGGCGGGCGCCTGGAGGGAAAAGCCCAGAGCTGTTTTCCGCAGTTCTCAGAAGAGCCCCCTTGAGCTGGGATTTTCACTGAAATATATCATTTCTCGTTCAATTTAAAATGAAAAAAAATTATGAACTCTTCTGTGCCAAAGCAGATACACAGGAAATGTTGTCTGCTGTTTTATAGTTTTCTCAGAACTTGGAAAACATGACTTAAAAGTATCTAAACATGGATATAGTATACTTAATATTCACCAAAATTAAATGAAAACATTTAGGTTCTAATGTCCCATCTTACTTGTTGATTCAGTTCAATATTTTTTGCTTATTAAATGTGAGTACTTTCTGTCATCTTTTAGATTTAGTGACTAATAAACTCTAAATAAAGCATTTCAAATGCATTCTAGTATATATTTGGGAGTTTCCATATCTTGATTTTAAAGATTTGAAATCAGCTTTAATTTTTGTGTAGTGTATTTCTCTCAATTTATAACTCAAGTTGATGTAAATATCTATGAAACTGTATTTAGATTGTAAATGTCCAACCAAGACTACTTTGGGCAAAGGTCATTGTGAAATGAGATGCTCATGTACTCATGCACCTTAAAAAAAAGAAAAACAACTAAATTGTTATCAAAAATAAATTTTAAAGTTATGTAGTTATAAAAAGGTACACATTCACCTGTAAGTTTAGAAGTCATGTCTCTAATGCTTATAATAAAACACACTGGCTCAGATGCTAAATGCGGGAGCAAGGCTGGCTCCTCTAAGCAGAAAGGCACGTGTGGCTTTAAGTCAGGATTTCAGGAGCAACGCCAGACGCCAGTGTCATGCGACCTCAGCCACAATCAGAAGCCCCATTGGGAGAGGACACCAGGCTGCAAGACAGAACCCTCAGGGTGATGCTGCACCACGCTGGGAGCCCCAGCTTACAGGGAGCCTGGGAGCGGCTGCAGCTTTCTAGGCCCTGCATAGAGAATGTCACAGAAGGACCATGAAGAAGCCCATGCTCAGGCCTTCAGGTTTCATTTCTGTGACTGCTGGGTCATGCACTCCTTCTTTCTATGCTCGCACGCCGACACACTATCACGGTGCCAAAATACGCTCTCATTTCACTCAAGACATCAACCCTGGTTGAAGCCAGTGCCCCATGCTGCTCCTGGGCCTCCAGCGAGCACCGCAGCTGCTGGACTCTCCATTCCTCAGCGATTGCTCCCTTTGGGGGGTCCCTCCTGCCTGCGGTTTGTGTGATCCTTTCTTCGCTTTTATCCTGGATGCAGCAGGCTAGCAACTCCCCCATGGGGAATCTGGGCACCAGAGACCTTCCTCTCTTCCATCGGGTAGCAGCAACTTCGATCCCTCACGGCCACTGGGACCCCTATTAGCTCCTTTGTTCTGTCGGCCCCGAAGTGCTGAGAATGGCACAGTGGCCGGCGACTGTCACAATCTCTAGCCCCCTGGAACCATTTCTGTTCCTGGTGGAAGCATCTATCCCCGGTGTTGTCGTAGTGAGAGTAGTTCATACTGGCTGTGGAAATAGAAAAAGCCTGGGGTCTCAGTGGCTTCATGTCTTCTCTGGCTCACTGCTCATCCAGTCTGGAAGTAAAATCAAGGCTATTGTGAAAATTAAATTAAGCAGAGTGCCTACAACAACATCCCCAAGCACACTGTCAGCACTGAGCATGTTTTTCATTACTACTCTTAATGAGGTAAGAATGAGATCACAGGCACCAGCCAGGAGCCTGGAGCCCCTCTGGCAGAGGCATCAGAGACCCTACTTTTAACATCCTCTGTTCATTCATTTGACTCTGAAAAGGGAGGAGTCTCATGGGAGAGGAGCAAACATCCACACTGGGGCCAGGCACCCCATGGTCAAAGTTGGGATGTTCAGAAAAGAAAACTGATTTTACCAATGTCTCAGTAAGTTAGTGGGTGATAGATATGGACTCCCAGATCTTTCTGTCCACAAAGCCTACAAGTTCTCCCTTGTTAGGCAGGCTGGGTACCAGGCCCTGCTTCTGGGCTCCGCTCATTTCCTGCTAGTCAATAATGGCAGAATTGATAGAAACGTTATCCCCCTTCACCACCTGGAGCAGAGCCAATGAGAGGGGCTGGGGAACATCCATGAGGCCCTGCACCCACCATTCAATGTTTTCAGGATTGTGGTCCCTCAGGACTCTTGCAGCACGTGCTGGCAGCACTCGCAGTGTCTGGGTGTCTTGTGAAGTTGTACAGGATCTAGTAGAGGCCAATGGCTGTGCAGTCATATCCTAAGAGGCGGCCAGGCAGGTTTGGATCGCTTCGCTGCTTCAGCACCAAAGGATGGACAGCGCCCATGCACCGAGGCCCTCCGGAGAATGAGAAGAGGGAAAGGAAGGGCAGAATGGAGTGATATAGGGTCCATCCACTGTGTCCCTGAATGGAGATACCCCTGTTCTCACAGTAGCCCCACACCGAGACCACCATTGACACTCATGAGGATGCCAGCCTCCATTTATATGTCCTTATCTGACAACTCCTTCCCATTTTCATCCTGGAGACAAGACTTCCGAACACACTGAGGGCACCTGAGTGTAACCTGACATGGTCCCTGAAGACTTTTCATCCAAGCAGGATCCCTCCCTTGCCATCTCCAGACCTGCCCCACAAGCTCCCTCCCTGGTCTCTTGGCTCTTGTTCACTCCTTCCAGGAAGCCTTCTACGGTCATCTCTAAAACGTGGCTGACTGTCCCTCCTTTATCCAGCACTTTCCATGGCTCCCCAGAGCCCTCCAGATCAAGTTCAAGTTCTTTGATCAGACACTTGATCTCAAGCTGCATTCCACCTCCTGAATTAAGATCCCGGAGATGCCCACCTTGCCCAGCACAAGTGCATCACTGAAGTTCGAAGTCTTGAACGTGGCCTTGGCCTTGAGGATGTCACCAACACCCTGGCTAGTGAGGGTGCAGTGCTGCTCCACGATGATGGTGTCTAAAGTTGTGCACCAGGTCATAGGCCCTGCAGAAGCATCACCCCTCAGGAGTGAGCTAGTACAGAAGTCCGTGCACAGGCAGATCTGCTGGTGCCATTACACTATGAGGGCACGGAGCTCTAAGATGGTGGCAACATAGTCACTAGAATTCCTGCAGGGTGAGGCTGGGGAGAGGAAGCAGTTGCATAACACATATGAAACCCTGGAAGCACTTCCCAGCCAGAATCTCAGGAACACATTACATCCAGATACAGGTGCCCTCTGAGTACACTTCTCTCTCTGCCTCCTACTCTGACCTGCCTCCTGGCCCCACATGCCCCAGCCTGGCGCAGGGCTTGGAGCCCAGCAGGAGAGCCCTTGCCAGCTCTGTGACTCCTCCTGTGGAACCTCTGACTCTGCTTTGGGACCTCCCAATTCCCATGGGAAGCCCCCACAGCTCTGGATTGCCCCACCTGCCCTGGGATTCTCCAGCTCCATAGGCCTTACTTGGTGCCTTAGCCCTCCCAGAACATGACATGTTTCTCAGAATGTGGCTGATGTCCAGGGCCATCTGTGGATGTTTGCTGAGGGCCTCTTGTTGTTCTCCTTTATGGTCTCTAGGGCAGGGCAGGGCCAAAAGGAGAAACCAATCAAATCTCAGAATGGACAAAAGGCTCACTGCCACAAATGGTAACCACCAAACAGTCAGCAGTGCTTCTGGAAAAAAAGATTTCATTCTGCAAAATGCTCCTTGTTTGGCTTCTTTCTGAAGCCAGGGAAGGGTACCAAGCCCAGCTTACCTCCAGTGCCTACATTACCATCTGTGCCTAGGATGTGTGATGGGCCCCGGCTCCCACTGCAGGGTTGACGTTCCCTCCAGCTGGAGACCTGGGCTCCTGACACCGCCTGACCTGTTCGTCCTGCTCTGGATGAGGGTGGAAAGGCTGTACCTGGTATTTTCCTAGGTCCTTGGTTTCCGCCGTCCAGACATCCAGCAGCAGTGACCATGCCCAGCCGCACACCTCAAAGTGGACTCCCCTGTAGAGCAGCGGAGACGTCTACAGACAGGAGTGCCTGGCGAGACAGGCCGCGGGGTCTCCGGGGAGGACCGGGGGCCAGAAGATTCTGGAGGTTTCCAGTCTTGGGCTCTGTGGTTCCTCAAAGAGGTTAGGTTTACCTAAAACCAGGCCTCCCCTCCCACGATTCAAAGAGTGGATGCGTGCTCTGCATCAGGAACTCTGATCTGGACCTATTTTTTCATTTAGGCCCCCAAGAGACAACCCCTAACCTCTGAGCTAGGGATGGCCCAAGCTCTGGCATGAGATTTTCTTCTAGCAACACGATGCTTGCAGGGACAGGTGGAAAAGCTGGTGACCAGGCCTGCTGCCCTCCGGGTAAGGACAGTGTGCCACCCACCCTCTGAGAGGCAGGTGGTGCCAGACCACAGCACTGGGTGCCTGTACACCTGGCTCTGCAGACACCGGTCATGGAGGTCCTCCCCGCTTCACATTACCTTCTTGCTGCTCTTAAATTTCTTGTAGTCATTAAGCACTTTGAGCCATTTTTCTGTGCATCTGATCTGACATTTTTGCTCTCAGATGGAATGCGATAAAGTAAGCCAAGCCACCAGGATTCCTGGAGGGGACCTTGGGTGCTGGGTCTTGGGCTCCAGGGCCCTGGTGGGTCTGAACTAGAAGGAGCCAGGGAAGGACAAACACTGGGGCTGAGGCCCTATGACCCAATGGCCATTGGTGGCCTGGCCTTATGGCCCCAAGACACCCTGTCCTCAGGCCACAGACACCATGGGCTTTGGTCAGGACCCAGTCTCCCAGTAGTGTCCTGGCACTAGCGGGTGCTGACCCCTGAGCCACAACCGCAGTTCTGGGTTTTGGGTTTGGTAAAACCACCTCAGGGACAGAGTTCTGGGGTTGGGTTTGGCAGAAACCATGGTGCCTCCCAGGGATGGTGTGTCACTCCTACTTGCCACGAAATGTGCACACAGGCTTCCCACTGTCCAGCCCATCCTGCTGGACAGGATGGAGGAAGTCAGGAAACAGACAGGGTGGACATCTGGGGTGCAAGGAGAGACAGGTGCATGCTGGGAGGTCAGACCCTGTGAGGGTTACGGGGGCATCAGGTGGAGTGGGCTCCAGGTGTACCCTCAATGCACTGGGCAGGTCTCAGGCCAGGATCCCTGGACCCCAGCTGGGTGATGTGGTCACTCCCTGGAGGACTGCTGTTAGGCCCTGGCCACCCACCCTGGGCAGCACCGTCCCATCTCAGGACTGGACTTTCTGAGTCCTGAGACAGGACAGGGCTGCCCAGGCCTGACAGACTGGGAGGACCTGTTAAGTCCTCCATCCCTAGACCAGCCTTCCACACAGCAGGGACAGTCTCCTACCTTTACCTTCAGGGCACTGACTGATCCATCTCACTCTAAGGCAACCAAGGCAGAGCTGAGGACCTGTGCCAGGCTGGGAGCAAGTCCCCTCCCTAAATGGGCCTGAGGGATGCACCATCCCTGTCCCAATCCTCCGCAAGTTTCAGCCCAGGAGACACATAGGGAAGGGAGGATGGAGCCTCCCTGCTGGCTGACACTGGAAAAGCAGGACCTGGAAGAAGAGGGAGCGCAGGGCTGGCAGGGATGCTCCAGGCCCATGGAGAGCTCGGGCTGCACCATCAGGCTGCTCCTCCTGGGCTGGAGGCTGTGCCCTCTGCAGGATCTGAGAAAGTCCAGTCCTGAGATGGGACAGTGCTGCCCAGGGTGGGTGGCCAGTGCCTGACAGCAGTCCCCCAGGGAGTGACCACATCACTCGACCGGGGTCCAGGGAGCCTGAGCCAAGACCTTCCCAGTGCACTGAGGGTGCACCTGGAGCCCACCCCACCTGACGCCCTCACAGTCCTCACAGGGTCTGACCTCCCAGCATGCACCTAAGTCTCCCTGCACCCCAGCTGCCCACCCTGCCTGTTCCCTGGCTTCCTCCATCCTTTGCAGCCCACAGACTGTGACCATCTCACCAGCCACTCTGGCCCTTCCTTTACCTTTGCCCTGTCAAAATCTCTGAGCAAGAGCTCCTAGGTCCATCCAAACACCTGCTTTGTCCACTTTTTACTGGGTCTTTGGGCACTACTGGTCCATCCCAGCTGTCCACAGGGCCTTCGATAACGTGCATTGCACCTGACATCTCCCAGTAGTGCTCAGCAGCCCCCATTGGCCAGGTCCCTGCTGACCAGATCTCGCACATCAGGTCCTCCCTGACCACACCCTCACTGATTAGAACCCCATGACCAGGCCCCACTAACCAGGCCCCTGCTGCCAGGCCCACAATGACCAGGACCCCACATACCAGGATCTTACTGACCAGGGCCTCACTGACAAGGTCCTTACTGACAAGGCCTCACTGACCAGGTTCTTACTGACAAGGCCTCATTGATCAGGTTCCACCGATCATGACCCCATTGCCTGGCCCCACAGATGAGGCCCCACTGACCAGACCTCCAGGGAACAGGCTGCCACTGACCAGGCCCCTATTAACCAGGCCTTAGGTGACCAGATGCCCCTGACTGTGACCCTAGTGAGTAGGCTCCACTGAATAGGCAACCACTGCTCAGATCCCCACTGACCAGGTCAGCCCATAGCCACCCGGTGGCTACAAAACCCACCACTAACCAAGCCCTCTCTGACCAGGCCCCCACTGATTAGGTTCCACTGACCAGGCTGCCGTGAGCAGTACCCCACTGACAAGGGCCTCACTGATGAGGACATGGCCACCAGGCCCTGCTGACTAGGTCCCATGTGACCAGGCCTCCACTGAATAGCACCCCTTGACCTGGTCACCAGTGACCCAGCCCATGCTGACATGGCCACCACTAAGCCCCAGCTGACCAGGTCTCCACTGACAAAGTCCTGCAGCCTAGTTTCACACTGACCAGACATCAAACAAGTGGTTGCTACTAGGTCCCCACTCACCAAGACCCCCATTACTAGATCCCCTAATGAGACCCTCTCTAAGCAGACCCCTGCTGACCACGCCCCCAATAAATAGGCCTCACTGACCAAGTCCCAACTGACTAGTCCACTGACCAGGCCCACACTGATCAGGGGCCTTCTAACCACACCAGAAGGCCAAGCGGCAATGAGATATTTCATCCGGCAGGAGTAGGAGCAAGACAGAGAGAAGAAGGAGGTGCCACATCCTGTTATACAACCAGATCTCATGAGAACTCACTATCAGGAGATCAGCATCAAGAAGGTTAGCCACTGGTGAAGGAACCACCACCCACACCACCGCCCACTGTTTCCAGGCAGAAGCCTCCTGCAGAGGCAGAGCCTCTTGGGAAACTTCCACTATGGCAGTGCAGAAGGAAAATGTGGGCTTGGAGCCCCCACACAGGAGGCCACCATCCTCCAGACCCCAGATTCATAAGCCTACCAACAGCTCACAACCTCAGTATGGAAAAGCTACAGGCACTCAATACCAGCCCAGCCCATGAGAGCAGCCATGGGGGCTAAAGCCTGAAAAGCCACAGGTGTACTGCCCTAGTAGAGGTTTTCCATGAGCCTCTGCCTCTGCAGCAGGCTACTCTCCCTTCCTACTACCCATCATCTTCCCACCACCCTACTGCCAACCTACTCCCCACCCTACCCACTCCTTTTCCTTCCAACCCCAACCCCCTCCTGCCATGATTAAATCACCTCCCACCAGGTCCCACCTCCAACATTAAGGATTACAATTCACATGAGTTTTGGTAAAGAAACACAACCAAACTGGGTGAGGGAGAAGGGACAAAATGGAGGAAGGTGAACAAGATGGCACAGTCCCGATTGCTTCCGGGTTCTTCATCACCAACTTTCCTGTGCCCAGGAAAGTGCAGGACAACCGAGCATGCGCCAGGTG